AGCTCTTTAAAAACTTCAAAGTCATCCACCACAACATAGGCATATTTCTTTCCACCAAGACTTTTCACCTGCATTGGTCCCATATGAAGAAGATCTAGAACCTTAGAGGTGGTCAGATGTCTTGACTTTGGATGTGACATCCTAGTTTGCTTACCAACCTGACATTCACCACAAACTCTCCCTTCATCAATTTGCAGTCTTGACATCCCTCTGACTGCCTCCATGGAGATACTCCTTTTCATTTCTCTTAGATGAAGATGGCCAAGTTTTTGGTGCCACAATTTCACCTCTTTTTCTTCTTTGGAAATAGAACACACAGTGGAGTTATTAGTGTTCTCAGGCTCCCACAAGTAACAATTATCTTTAGATCTGACTCTTTTCATTACAACTTCTTGTTTTTCATTAATTACAAGACATTCCGATTTTGAGAAGTTGACTTTGAATCCTAGATCACATAATTGACTGATACTAATGAGATTAGCAGTCAGGCCTTTTACCAATAGTACTTCATTCAGATTTGGAACTCCAGGGCAGTCCAAATTACCAACTCCTTTGATTTCACCTCTAGCACCATCTCCAAAGGTCACATAACTAGTGGTGTGAGGTTTAACATTATTGAGAATCTTCTTGATTCCAGTCATGTGCTTAGAACACCCACTGTCAAAGTACCAGTCTTCCTTTGCAGAGATTCTCAGGGAAGTGTGGGCTATCAGGGCAGTAGCCTTTTTCTTCCATTGAGGAGTATGTGGAACCCTGTTAGACTTAGGTTTGACACCTGGGTTCTGATTAGGGTATCCATACAATCTGAAGCAGAAAGGCTTTATGTGACCAAACCTCCCACAATGATGATATCTCCATCTTTGGTACTTTTTCTTCATATTTCTCTGTTCCCGATGTTGAGTGTTATGTTGTGAAATCTGTTTTGACATTGGTTTATCAGACCTGATCTTCTTGTCTGCACCAGATTTCTTTGCTTCCACAAATCCTAGTCCAGACTTGTTTCCCACATTTTGTCCAACCTGAAGGATTTCCTCCAATTTGTCAGTTCCATTTGTCAGCATCTTGACAGATTTGGTCATCTGGTTCAATTTTGAGTTCAGCATTTGAACTTCCCCTTCTAGATGACTTATAGTTTCAAGGTCTGCCCTTTTTTCAGCCTCCAACTTTATGATGAGTTTTGTTTGTCTCTCGTTTTGCACACAGACTTCAGCACTTCTGATACACAATTTCTTGTAAGTATCAGCCAGTTCTTCAAATGTCACTTCCTCATCACTAGTGTCACTTTCAGAGGTACAAACACCAGTTAGTGCAGTAACTAGTTTGGCAGATTCTTCTTCAGAATTACTTTCTAAATCACAGTCAGACCAGGTAACAGTCATACCTTTCTTTTGTTTCTTAAGAAAGGTAGGACATTCAGCTCGAATATGCCCATATCCTTCACAACCATGGCATTGAATTCCTCTGCCTTGATTTCCCTTCTCTTCAGACCTTGGTCTTCTGCTGGAGTCATAAGATATGTTAATGTCAGAGGGGATGTTCTAAACATTTGACCTTGACTTTGGATCCATTCTCTTGATGAGTTTGTTGAATTGTCTTCCAAGCATGGCTATAGCTTCTGAAATATTTTCTTCTTCATCCTCCTTGTTTTCATCTTCAGTGTTGGATACAAGTTCTATGCTCTTGTTTTTCTTGTCAACATTGTAACTGATCCCCATCTCAAAAGTCTGAAGAGACCCAATGAGTTCATCCACCTTTAAGTTGCTGATGTCCTGGGCTTCCTCTATAGCAGTTACCTTCATTGCAAATCTTTTAGGCAGGGATCTGAGAATCTTTCTCACCAGTTTTTCTTCAGACATCTTTTCACCCAATGCTCCTGAGGTGTTGGCAATCTCCAAGATGTTCATGTGAAACTCATGAATGGTTTCATCTTCCTTCATCCTTAGGTTCTCAAACTTTGTAGTCAGCATCTGAAGCCTTGACATTTTTACTTTGGATGTGCCCTCATGGGTAGTTTTGAGAGTGTCCCACACTTCCTTGGCCAGTTCACATTGATGTACTAGTCTGAATATGTTTCTATCAATTCCATTAAACAAGGCATTTAAAGCTTTGGAATTACCCAGGGCTAACTCATCTTCTTCTTTGCTCCATTCTTCCTCAGGCTTCAGACTGATTGTCCCATCTTTCTCAGTTATGGTGGGATGGTTCCATCCTTTGTCAGCAGCTCTCCAAACCTTTTTGTCCAGAGATTTTAAGAAGGCAATCATACGAGGTTTCCAGTAGTCATAATTTATTCCATTCATAATGGGTGGTCTATTTCCAAAAACTCCTTCTTTGTCCATAGTGCCAGAAAGTGATATCCCTAGATCTCACCCAGTAATACAGACAGGGTGCCTGCTCTGATGCCAATTGAAATTCTGGCAGCAGATACTCAATGTCACAGTGAATGTTATGACACCGTATCTGACTTTCTATAAGACAAAAAATAAAAACAGTAAAGAACACAGTCAATTATTTACCCAGTTCAGTGTGAAACAACACCTACTCTGGGGGCTACCAAGCCAGGGAGGAAATCCACTATAAGAGATACTAATTCAGGAATAAACCAACCAGTTTATCTCCTTCACTTAAGACCTACCCAATGCAACTTCAATCTAAGTTCAACTTAAACCTGAGTTCCTACTCACTCCCCCTCAATCACAACAGTGATACTTAAAACAATTGACTAATGAATTAATGAAGACACTCTTTAGAACATACACTTGATTATGCTTCACAGCTTTTTAATCAAGTAACACAAACACTCTTGCTTCACAGCTTTGAGTGATACATAAACCTAACTTGACTTTGCTTCAAAGCTTTAGTCAAGAGACACAAAACACTCTTGCTTCAAAGCTTTGAGTGATACAAAAACCCTTACAATCAAAACCTATTCCAAGTCACTTATCACAATGATACTTGCTTGGATTACAGCAATTAAAACTATACAGCTCCTAATTGATCTTCAGTCCAAAGAGATACTTTCCAAACAGCAATCCTGTTGAATATATAGCAACTGTTTCTTCAGTTCGGGTTTCCACAAAAAGTTAGGGTTAATTAGGTTTAACCTTAAGACTTGGTCACAAGACTTTATCAACCAGTTTAGGATTGAGCTAGGTTAACCCAAAGACCACGGGAGATTCTGTTCTGGAAGGAATGAGCCAACTTCCTGAAAAATCTCAGAATTAACCAAACTGCACTATAGTTAGATCAGTACAGGATGTCTTAACATTTGTTATGACATCAGAATTCCTGTTTACTGATTTTGGTAGAAGGCAATAAATGTGATCTTTTGCTAAATGCTCAGATACACACTCATACACAGTAGCTACTGTGTGCCACACTTTTTCTGCATAAAGAACTTAAAAATCCAGAATGTTATGACATTAGTCATGACATTTATACACCTGGTTTTACCAAAAATACAAGCCAATAACTAAACACTTACAGTTGTGATTAATTGTTGATGTAATTTATTTTACACCGTCGATGTATTTCTATTAAAATTTAAAAAATATAAATTAATTAAATTGTTATATAATAATAAAAGATAAATTACAGTTTTGATCTCTTCAATTTTATCTTATTCACGAAATTAATTTTTTTAAAAATATTTTAAACCCAAATAATTTTGATTCTTAAGTTATTTTTACATAAAATCAATCAGATTTTGTTTTTTAATTTATATTTTTATATAAAATTCTACAATATATATAAAATAGTGATACCAAAACTATAATTACTAGTAGTATATTTGGTTCTACGTTGGATATACCAAAAGCCCATCAAATTATCATGTTTTTGTAGAAGCTATTATTTATAGTTTCTGGATTTTTACAATGAGAATGCTTTGAGAACGCAGAAAAATTGAGTTGGACGCAGATCTAAACATATGCTAAGTCATACTAAATTATACTGAATTTTCAAAAATTTGAATGTCTATTAAAATATAAACTCAATCAAACTAATGTATGTCAAGCTAGTTGAGGTAAATAGATGTGACCTGTTGGTCTAAATTTAATCCTTAATAATTTTTTTTTTATTTTCTTATAATATATTATTGTAAATATAAATTATTAATACTAATAGATCACCATTTTTTTTTAAATGAACTCAACTGAGAAATTTTTCTTCACAAACACACGTTATTGTTTTATTATCTACTCCCTACATCTCATCAAAAATATTCATTTGCACTTTCTTTTTTCAATTTCAAAATAAATATCTTTTCACAATATCAATATAACATTTACTCTTCTTCTCAAAAAAGACATTATAAAATGGAAGGAGTACTCTTACTCAGATATACTCAACTTTATAGAAATACTAATTTGTTATTAAATTTTTTTTTCTTTGCCATTGTTAGTGATTTTGATATTTGTTATTTCTTATCCAAGGTTAATAAATAAAGTTTTTCAAATTGAAATATGGTACGTATACTATTTTTTACTGTAATTATTTGTTGGTGTTTGCTGTAAAAAATTATTTTACCATTAGGTTATATAAGAATTAGAGTATATAATGAACTCTAAACATTTTGCCCTATACTCTTTTCATTACTTTAACTTTAAAAAAAAATTCTAAATAGAATTAATTTAGATGTATCATAGATGAAAAGTGATTCTATTTATCATATAATTAAAATCAAATATTTTTATTAATTTAACTTAATCGATAGTTATACAAAAACATCCTCCGATCATACAAATCATGAGCGAGTTCGAATTCGAAATATTCTAAAAATTCAAGAAACATAAAATGAAAAATACTTTATTATACCATCATGCCTTAAATACTTCATAACATAATGTTACGCAACACAAGAGCTACCAACATTAAACCACTGATATACCTTTTTATTGAAGGACAATAATAATAAGATGAAATTAAAATAAAATAGATAAAAAGCGTAGAGTGGTTTATTTTATTGAAGAAAGTAAATGTTTATTAAGAACTTCCTATTATCATTCTCCTAGAACTTCCTCAGTGGATTCAAGAAAGGAAGTGAAAGAATGAAGATTGTTGGACATATTAGTTTCATCACCAAAGTTACATTGTGTCCAGTTCTTCAAAATCTCATCAGAGAACAAAGGAGTCTGATCCGAACACGGCGACGATAACAGATCGTTATAATCGAAACTGCACGTAGTCGAGAACTTGGAGTTCAGAAGCTCAGACAAGCAAATATCATCTCCAATGTTGAAATCAACCAGCAAATCTGTAGACAGTTCTTTCTCTTCATCAGGAAATGACAGAAAACCGTTTCTGTTGTTGTTGATACTCATCGAATCACTCGCCACTGCATCCACAGCCATTGACTGTTTTGTTTCTGATTTCGTCTCTGTCTCATCTTTGTTCTGCAAATTATGCATTGGTGATGAATGAGGATGTGAGTTTATGAATAATACCTTGGAACATTTTGTAGCTTTTGTACGGACAACATGGGAGTTTTGCATCATTGGCTTAGGATTGTTCTGTTTCTGTGTGATCTTTGTGTTTTTCGGTTTTGCAGAGATCTTCGTAGGAGAAGAAGAATTGTTGGTGTTTTGTTGATTCAGATCTTTCACTTTTTTCCCTAAATTCGTGTTCCAATAATTCTTTATTTCATTGTCTGTTCGTCCCGGTAATCTTCCCGCTATAAGAGACCATCTACATCAAATCAAAGACTGAGAATTAGTACACATTGTTAACTTAATACATTAACAATTAGTTCTTTGAATTTTATATTTATTGAATAACTAATATGTTCTGTATGATGTATCTGATTCATATATAGATTAGATACATCAATTTTGTTCTATATATTACACAAGAGAAAAGAATATGTTAATATTTTACCTGTTTCCAAGTAATTTGTGGAGTCTGATGATAAGTTCTTCTTCGTCAGACGATATATTACCTCTTTTGATATCTGGTCTTAGATAATTCAACCATCTAAGTCTACAACTTTTTCCACATCTTTTCAAACCTGCATGGAAAAACAATTAAAACAAAAAATATAAAGTATAAGAATCAACAAGAACATGAAAGAACAAGAAAGAGAAAGAACCTGCTCTTTTGGGAAGGTTTCTCCATTTTCCTTCTCCATGAAGCTTAATGTAATTAGTGAGGATTTTGTCTTCATGAGAAGTCCAAGCACCTCTATTCAAGCCTTCCTTTGAACAACAAGGACTTCTTCCCATTGATGGTGTTCTTAATTAGGCTGTCTTGGAGTCCTACCTCACTCTCCGGATTGGAGTATTTGGATGTAGACAGAATTAAATAACTTTGCAAGAGTAATTGGTAACCATCTATATATATACATGTGTGCCAATATATGGAGCCTTTTGGTTGTTGCACATAAAATTGGGATCATTTATGTCATGTGATGGAACACTCATGGAATTGGACATGGCTAGTTTTTTCCTTCGTGGATTCCATATATTTACTAATGGTAAATATATTCCTTTATAAAATTTTACATATTATTATTTTTTATTTGTGATATAAATTTAAATATATCGAGTCTAATTTTTTCTATTAAACTCAATATGTTTTATCTTAGAGTTATTTATGTTTGTCGAGTGTTGATAGTAAAAACTTTTACTCTCAACAAATGAATTTCATAGGTTAAATTTCACAGTAAAACACAAGTGTACGTGAGGCGTGTGTAATTGATTTCGTTTCTTGAATTTGCGTTGAGTTTACGATCGGAGTCGTAACAGAATTGCATTTCTTGATTTTGTGGGATCGGATAACACGAGTGTTTGGTGAGATCTTAGTTAGTTTTTCAGCGCAAAAGAACGAAGATGAACAACAAAAATAGTTTGAATATGAAACTTCGAGTGTTTGATGGAAAGAATTGGAATTGGCGGATGATTCAAATGCGTGTGTTATTCGGTGCTTAAGACATTCTTGATCTCGTCACCGACAGTTACGTTTCGGTTGCAACAAATACGGCAAAGGAACAGAGAAACACGCAAAGAGATACGAGGAAGAAAGATCAGAAGGTGTTGTTCTACATCCATCACTACGTGGATGTAAATGTGCTTGAGAAAATTTCCGATTCAACGACAACGAAGGCTGCGTGGGACATACTAACACGGTGCTATGACAGTGATGCGTGAGTGAAGAAAGTGAAACTTCAGTCTCTATGTAAGAAGTATGAGAATCTCAACATGAAGAACATTGAGAAGGTACCTGATTACATCTCTAAAGTGATTTTGATCACAAATGAGATGAAATTTTATGGAGAAACTCTTTCCGAACAAGTAATCATTGAGAAGGTACCCATGTCTCTTACTCCTCAGTTTGATTACACTGTGGTAGCAATTTAACATGCTGAGAGCCTCAACACCATGAGAATTGAAGAGCTGCAGAGCAGTCTAGAGGTACAAGAGTCGTGTCTGACTGGGAGAACCTCTGAAAGAGGGGTAAAGCAGGCTCTGAAGGCATCTTTTGGTAAGAAGAGCCAAAAATAGTCTTGTTCAGAATCCAAGAAGAGACATGGTAGTGGTTCTCAGAAGTCAGAAGCCTCCAACTTTAATAAGAATAAACATCAGAAGGGAAAGGAGAAACTTGACAAGATGAAGATTCAATACTACTGTTGTAATAGGTTTGAACATTTTGCTAAAGATTGTTGGTCAAACAAGGAAAGAAAGTCAGAAGAAACAAACATAGCCAAAAGAGATTTTATTGATGAATATGTGCTATTGTTGGCTTTTGAATCTGATGGTGGATATTTGTTAGACTGGTGGTATATGGACACTGGTTGCTCAAATCACTTAACTAGAAACAAACAATAGATGATTGATTTTGACTCTAAAAAAAGGATAAAAACCAGATGTGTTGATGATAAATACCTTAATGCTGAAGGTATGTGAAATGTCAAAGTCAGAGTGAAGAATGAAATAATTATTCTGATCAAGGATGTTTGGTATGTTCCTGGCATGAAGAGCATTATGATGAGTGTAAGTCAGCTCATTGAGAAAGGTTTCTCACTTACTATGATGAATAATCTCATGAAGTTGTATGGTTCCAATTAGAAGCTGATTATGCAATATGAGTAGAGAAGCAACAAAATATTCAAGATGAATGTGGAGACAACTACAACTAAATTCCTTGGTGCAGAAGGTGATAAAGGCGGCAGTGAGCTGTGGCACAAGAGATTGGGGCATCTGAACCTCAAAAGCTTAGAGAATCTAAGTTCTAAGAAGCTAGTACATGGCATTCCTAAGATTGTGAAGCCTGATAAATCATGTTAGATATACATGAGAAGCAAGTAACCCAGATTTCCATTTGCATCGGAAGTGGCCCCAAGAGAAAAACATGCTTTGGGAGTACTGCATTATGATGTATGTGGACCATTTGAAGTACCTTCACTTGGAGGAAACAAGTACTTTGTGTAGTTTGTGGATGAATTCACAAGAATGACATGGGTGACACTCATCAAGTTTAAACATGGAGTGTTTACTGAGTTTCAGAAGTTCAAGGTGAAGGCTAAAAAATAGAGTGGTCAGAAGCTGAAGTTCTCAGAATTGATGGTGGATATGAGTGTAACTCTATAAAGTTCAAGAAGTTATGTGAAGAGAATGGAATTGAGCATGAGGTTATTGCTCCATACACTCCTCAACACAATGGTCTTACTGAAAGAAGAAATATAATTTTGTTTTATATGACAATGAGCATGCTGAAAGAGAAGAATATGCCTCACACCTTATGGGGAGAAGTTGTTGCCACTTCAGCATATGTGCTCAACAGGTGTCCAACCAAGAAACTGAAGGAAACTATTCCTTTTGAGAAGTGGACTAGAGATAATTAAATTGCGAGTCATTTCAGAGTATTTGGTTCAATTTGCTACAAAAACATGTTCTAGGTGCTACTAGAAAGAAGCTGGATGATAAAAGCAAAGTAATGTTGCTGATTGGGTACCACAGTACATGTGTGTATAAGATTTATTATCCAGTCACTAATAAAGTTGAAATCAACAGAGACGTCATTGTGAAAGAGTTAGAAGTTTGGAATTAGAGCAAGTCTCAATCAAACTATGGTGCAATGTTGACACCTGAGATAACTTCTGAAGATACTTCTGAATCTGAAGGATATTCTAGTTCTGAAGTTGAGTCAGAGTCTGAAGGTGACTATGAAGCTGAAGGAGACTCTAAAGACGAGTCTGACTTTAAAGGTGAATTTTATTCTAATCTAGATTCTGATGATGATCTATAATCTGGTGGTCAAGACTCTGGTGGTCATGCTTTTGAAGGTGGAGCTTCTGGAGGTGGTCCAACTTCTGGAAGTAGTGCAACATCTGATACTGTTTCAGAATTTGAAGATTCTAAACAAGTTTGAAGGCCACAAATAATCAGACAAATACCTAGAATATTTGTAGAATTTACATGTTACAAGATACTGAGATTGACTATGAAGGAGAAGTCATTCAGTGAGCCATGGTAGTATTTGTAAGAACAAGATTGGTTCTGTATCTGGCTTTTTATTTTGATGATAACTTTACATGTTATATTAGAGAATAATTATGCACTCTAAGGGTTTTTGTCTAGTGTGTATCTTTTTCTAAACAGGTTCTGACTCTGGTAAGAAGGTGTGTTACGCTATCAGGCTTTGAACTCAACACTCTGGAAGAATACCTTTGGTGTTTTACAAGTCAAAGTCTAGATTCTGGAATACTTCTTATGCAACAGTTCTAAAGAACGTTAGTAAAAGAGCTTCTGATCATGACTTTTGTAAGGAAGTGTTGTACCCCAAACTTTTCCCTTTCGTTTTTCTTCAAGACATTCTCCTAGGATTCTCAAATGCTAAAGTTGGCTCAAGAATTGATCAAACAAATTCTCCTCCTAAGCAATGGGTCCACAACTAGGGTTTGGTGTTTCTCAAAGAAGTTTGTGTTTCAAAGGTCTCAAGTGGTTTCCATGTTTCTCCATAGGTCTTCAACAATGCTCATATTAAATTTCAAGTCTTGCATCACAAGTTTGCTCAGTCAATAGCTCAGATGATTAAAAATCAACTGTATTAGGTAAAAAGTCAAATGTGGTCAACATACAGTCAAACTTCAAGATTATTGGTCAAAATCAACATTTTGAGGTGATATTCATCATTTTATCAAGTTTTGATCATGATTCCTCAAGAAAAACCCTCAAATCATCAAAAGTTGCTAAATTAAGGTTTCCTTAGAAGAAGTCAACTGAACTTTGACCAAACATAACTTTCACATGCTTCATCAACTTTTCCCAAACCAAAGCTCATTTTGAAGGAAATTCAATTCTCTAAAAATTTGTATCTCTAATTTCAATTCCAAAAAATACTTCATTTGAGAGATATGAGCCAATACATTATAAGTCATTTCAAAAGTCACCAAAAAGACACTTTTTGTCAAGGCAACTTACATCAAGATAAAGTCTCCAAATTCTAAAATAATCAAAAGATAAATTGTATATTACATCTTGGGATTTCCAAAAAGTCAAAGATCACCTTCAAAAGATGAAAATTGAGAGAGCTATGACCAATGCAAGTTGGGAAATTTTGAGAGAATCTATGAATTCCAAATTGAGCAATTTTGAAATTTTGGACTAGTGGACCTATTTTTTAACGTCTAAACATGTTTATGACCTTATAGAGGACTCATAAACTCATTCATACCTTACCATGATTTTTATTTTATTTTTTATATTTATTTTTATTTCTATTCAATTAAATAAAAAATAAATTAAATAAAATAACAAATGATGGACCAAGGCATCTGGGCTTGGTTTTGGATCAAATTTGAGGCCCAAGAACATATATCTAACTTTCCTAAACCGTGTTTCCTCAATATGGGAAGAGTTTCACTTGTTTTGGAAGGTTTTTAATTGGTTTTGGCAAGAATCTTCAAATTTGGAAGCTTGAAAACATGTTTTATAATGTTTGATTCACTCTTAACTCCTCATGATTGCCATTCATTTTTGTTGACTTAATATGATGCTTATAAATGGAGGACATCAAACCAAGATGAGGACCACAAAATTTTATCTCAAAAGCTAGTTCAAAAAATCACCAAAAAGTCAAGAATTAGAGCGTATTCGAATTCCATTTTTCAATGGTTTGCAGTCCAAACCAAGGAATGAACCATCATCCTTACATTCCGAGGAACACGCCCAGATCAAGAATTAAGCAATTACTCGCCCAAGATCATCATACTCACACTCACCGC